ACCAGCTCTTTCACTCACTTGGAAAAAGTCCGAGAGACTTTCTCTGAATGACAGTAGACGGTGTGAAAGAGCCAGGAGAAGCTGAGGCAGAGCACTGCACCCAAGAAGAACATCCCAAAAACCACCTTCTCCTGCAGGGGGGCCATGAAGTACATGTTTGGTCTGAGCATGGTCAGGATTCCAAGAAAGAGAAACAGCACAAAACCTAGAGGGGGAAGAAGGGAATGTGTGCATTCTGACAGCCGATGGTGTTGAATCAGCACTAAAACTATAGGGCTTAGCTGTGGGAACTGCAGTCCAAAATCTCAGGAGAAAACGGCACCAGTCACATAAACCCAGACAAAAAGGTCCTTTAAAAAAAATGTTGCTGTTTTGCTGTGACAGTGGGAATTTATGAAATGGAAGGAACTGCCTCCATGCTGGACGGTTCTTCCAGGGATCACAAGGGAACACAGCGCCTAGCTGCATTTGCTCCTCTCATTTCTACCCCCCGCCCTAAAGATCAGTGATCGGAAGTCAAGCAAGCTCGTCGGTGTTTTGCAGGCACTACGCCAGCTTTCAATCAATCAGAACAGCTTTGTTCCCCCCTCCCAGAGACACAGGCCATATAAGCCCTTTGCAATCAAGGAGACAAAAAGCTGCATTTTCCCACCGAGATCACTCACCAAGCAGATGGGTCCAGATGTTGCCAGTCTCCGTATGTATGCGGAAGATGCTCTTGAAGCAAGCCCGGAAGGAGGGCATGGGCGGCCTGTGGCCGTGCAGCAAGTAATCGTTGTCCTTCAGCCAGTCGGGAAGCACATCATATGGGATGACTCTCCAGCGTCCCTCCCAGACCTAGAACAGTTGAAACAGAAATTCCACATATGGCTTTTTAAAACCATGCATTTCAGCCCTCCTTGGCCCTTCTGCTCCTGGACAGTCTGGTTGCCCCCTGCTCTGTCCTTCCCCCCAGTAGATTCTAAATTCTCACGAGGTTGAGACAGTGTCTTTTAGAGAAGGGGATTCTTAACCTAGGACACATGGAAGTGGGCAGAATCCAGGAAGTAGATGAAAAAAACTTATCTTCATTTTTACTCACCTTTAACTATAATTTAACACTTCCCTCAATTATAAATGTGAGCAACAAACCATTAGAACTGTGACTCTGTCACCAACAAAAATCACAGATACTTTCATATAATAGTTTTGCAGATATCAAAACATTTCTACTCATCACTACTTAGAACTTACAAATTTTAACCTGTCTGGGAAGCTCAGTTGGTTAGAGCGCTGTCCCAGTATGCCAAGGTTGTGGGTTTGATCCCTGGTCAGGGCACATACAGGAATCAAACAATGAAGGCATAAATAAGTGGAACAACAAATCGATGTTCCTCTCTCTAAAAAATTAAAAAAAAAACCCGCAAGCATATAAATTTTAATAAAAATACGTTGTAGCTTATCATTAATGCTTATTTAATGTATTAATAAAGAAGCCCATATCACATTTTAGTATTTTGATGCCTGCCAAAGGGATCCATAGCAAAAAAAATTGAGAGCTACTACTTCGGAATATATTTGGAATAGTGCTTAACACATCAGGCAGTAAAATTTGCTAACCCAGGATTTACTGCACCTTAAGCAAAAACAACTCCACGCACAGGAGTAAAAGGTCTTCAGCCCATTCACTGCAGGCCCACCAGCTGGAACACCCCAGTAAGCCCGCCGTCCCTCCCCTCTAAGACAGAGCTCTCAGAGCTCTCACCTTATACACGAACTCCTCCATCTTCTCCATGGCATGGTGTGCTTGCAGGGGAAGTGTCAGGACCCGCACCTCCTCCTCCTCCTCCTGGGGCACTGGGCATGCTTGTTCTTCAGCCTGCATGAAACAAAACAAAACAAACACAAATCAATCCTAGCAGCCATCTTATAAACTGTGCTCTCTCAGATCTGACACGTCTAGGGAAGCCCAAACCCCACGCTTTGTGCACCAGGCCTGTGGCCTCTTCTCCGAAAGCATGACAGTTAATAAGTGTACAACACTCTGGTTAAGATCACTAACACTGTGTAAATGCTGGAGCGCAAGTGCCATCAGCACACAGGGGACGGGCTGACGGAGACGGACATCGGAGGGAGGGACGCAGGACTAGCACACCCGTCCCAAATGTTCCTTAAGTCTGAATGCCCCTCCTAATCTCTAGGACAGTGGTTCTCAACTTTCCCCAATTTCCCAAACACTTTCATCTTCCAGACCAGAGACTCTCACAGCAATGCAAAAGACAGTCTCAACGATCCGATCCCGCAGGACTGAGAGCTGCCCGCAGTTCCCTGTTCGCAGACTCTGGGGATGTCACGATGACCGAAACTTTGTATCCACAGCAGCTCCCAGGAGCACCAGGGCCCAGAACAGGTTGCACAGAATAAAGCAGCACCGACGCCTGTGCGGGAAGGAGCCTTGACACAGAGAGCTCCTGGGGGAGCGTTCGCCCACTACGGAGGCGCTGTCCCAAGACTCCAACCCACGGCAGAAAGCCCTTCCCTGAGCATCCCTTCTCTTTCCTGTTGAGGGCCTTGTGCTAAGCACTGGGGTTATAAAGACGAGTGAACTCGTAAAAGTTTACAGTGGGAAAAACAGACAAAAAGATACTCATACATCTGTAATATTTTAAACAAAAATAAACACACATACACACCAAAAATAAAAATAAAAAGATACTTATAACACAGCATGACAAGGGCTGAGATGAAACATTCCCAGGGTGCTCTGACTCCTCTTTTGGGGGGGGGGAGTTGAGATCTTAAAAAATGGAGATGGCAGAGGTTTAAGGAGAAATTCTGATTGAGGGAATGACTCCTGGGAAGACAACTTACTTTGGTTGGGTCAGCGACTCCCCGTTTGCCCTTCTCTTCTAGCAGGGGTCCCAGTTCGGCCAGCTCCACTGTGTCTGTCTCCCTGCTACTGGCGGGAGCCCCATTGCTCTGTGCCACCACTGGTCCTTTGTGAGAAGACATCTAGCTGGTACCTCAATATCCTGCAGCTTCAGTTTGGTGACAGGCTGGGTGTCTCAGCCCCAGGGGGCAGAGATCGCCCTGTGACGGCAGACACTAAAAGCAAACACAAACATGAAGGGTGTTGACAATTTACTTCTCTCATAGTTCCGGTTCCACAAGTCAATACTGAGTAAGATACCAGTGAATTAACTTACATCCTATCTCCAATTCTAAAGGCCAATTAACTGCTAAACTGAAGTCGATCCCCTCTTCTCCCTCTCTAACTACCCTTTGCTCAGAACCCCACAAATCTTACAGGAAAGGTTGAAAACAGGACACCTGGTTGCTTGCCTTCAAAGCATCTGTGGTTTTTGTACCAAACTGTCACCACAGAAAAACAGGTAGCCACCCTCACTCAACTCCCTCCCACAGGTATGGATCCCACTTAGTAGAAAGAAAGAGCCCATCATTCCCAAAGCTATTCTGCCCAAGAAAGGTCTGCCTTTGAGATTGTGGAGCAAAACTATGAAGTTAACACCTGGCTGTAACTATAAGACCTCCCAGGCTTAGAAAGGAGTTAAATGCCAACTGAACACGGCTGGTTTTATCCTAAATGCTCTGACAAGTGTGCCCTGCATGCAGAAGGAGCTTGTTGTGGGCTAGATGCCCAATGGTTAATTTCTCTGCAAGGTCTACTAATTCTACTATAGGATTAGAGCTTGGGTTCAACACTTGGATAACAAGCTTCACCACAATTTCCCCTTAAAGTAACTAATAACTTACCTGGAAGCAGGAAGCTGAAGACAAGGAGGTAGCCTTGCCCTCTGCCACACAAACCAATGACCAGCTAAGCAAGAGCTTGGCCAGCCCCTCAGATCACAGCCTATGCCCCACTCAAATCAGTTTTTCAAAAACCAGAGAAGGGCACGCAGTCTCTTTAGGAAAACCAGAGAAACCTAGAACTCAGTTTTCTAGTAAGTCTGAGCTGGATTTAAGGTAGCAGTCTTTAATAAGGCCTCGGAGAGATGAAAATAATATTGAAAAGTGCCCAAAGATTTCCACTATCTTGTAAATTACTAGTTTTTTCACTGCCCAGAAACAAAGGAGTTTATTACTCACAGCAATAGTAGTAGCCAGAATATCAGCGTTTCCTTGCACTGGTTACCTGTGTCCCAATTACCACAGGGCAATGCAAAGAGGGCCAGGTAACACCTGCACATGGAGTGAGCTGGTTTACAAGTGTTAACTTAAGCTTAGGGAACTTCCCCAAATCTTTTATAAGGGGGCAGTAAGTGTGACTGTCCTGAGGGAGACTTTCTCTCCCCCGGCCGTTCACTACACAAACATCTTTGACATCTTGTACCAGTTCTTCTTTTTTTTTTTTTTTAAATCCAAGAGTAATCACAATTTCTTCTCAGGGATTATAACTGGGTTTGTGTAGTCACGTGAGGGCAATCTTCAAGTTTCAAAAGTCATGCTATACACAACTTACAAGCACAGTTGAAAGCAACAGACAAACAATAATTTAGTGTACATGGTGTCAACACAAAGAAGGTTCCTCTTCCTTCAAATGTGCAAGACTGACAAGACAGATGCCACTTAGGCAACAATTGAGCCCACGGAGAACAGGAAGCTGGAGGCCCCTGGAAACCTCAGGAGAGAGGCAACCCACGTGAGAAGAAACATTGGGAAATCCTTTTCAATAGGCTGACCACAAAATATCTTTCCTCAAAGTGAAGTACTACCAAATCAACAGCTTTACTAAGAAATAATTTATAATGGAAAAAAATAGAAAGAGCTTTGGGCTCTTGGAGAAGTCTCAAAAGGGGGATACACTTATAATGCTGCTGCCAGTACTTCAGAGGCAGGCCAAAAAATTGTTCTCAGGTTCAGGGATATAATACTACCTGGGTAACAAATTGACACATATCCCTGTTTTTGGTCAGAGCCTGCATTTCAAAAGGAATGAATGGACAAATGGGCAGCATTCCAGACAGCAAGCATGTGACTCATTAGCCTTTCATCACTGGCTAACAGTTTATGCACTTTCTTGTGCTTGTGGGGCTTTCTCCTTGCACTGAATATTTAACAAATGTATTTAGTACTGCACCCTAAAGAATTCTAGGGTACTGTGTAAAACACAAAGCTGAACAACTTAAGCCATTTTCTTCAAAGAGCCTACAATCAGACGGCATAAGGTACATGGTGGCATGTGCAAAGTCAGAGATACACAGTCACTGCTCCAGGAGGGCAGCGGAAGGAGAGAACCCCTAACTAGAACAGCTGCACACAAAGTTCAGTTATTTTGAATGTTATGTAACTATTTTACTAGACAAACGTTAAGTTGGGCAATTAGGGTCAAGAGATCAGATGCAGAACCCAGCTTGGTATTGTTATAATTTTTTCATTTGATATGAAAAGCTTCTATGCCCTCAAGTCTAGTGCTCTCTTAGGATGACCGTAGTCTCTTGGCAATCATCAAAGTGTTTTTCGTTTCCGTCCAAGTCACTTTCTGCTAATTCTTCAGATTTCCTCCAGCAACTGTTCCTCGCTCCTACACCCTCCCTCCCGCATTATGTGCTAGACTCAGAGTCACTAAACCTAACACCCCAGTTAACTCACAAACCTGCCATCAGCTACAGCTCATCATACAAGATGTCATCATGCAATGAAATACATACAGTGGAGGTAATCATAGAGAGCAAAAGTCCACTGTCCACTTTGGTCTTCTAAACTGTAGCAACAGAGACAGGAAAGGGAGAGAGGGATCAGAGGTCTGGCAAGAAAGAAGAGCAAGTAGTACTAGGACCTGAAAGCACAATTTCTGACAGGGCAGACCACTCACAAACAACTGGGAATTATTATAAGCACTTTAGTCTCCGATATAGAATCAGCACAAACCCCTAAGTTGTTAAGACTGATTGTGGGAGCACTCAGGACTTCAGCCAGCTATACACTTTTGTCTTTTAGAGCAAATACATTTCCCCTCAAACTCACCACACCCAATAGAGAAAATTATAACTGGGCCAAACTCCACGGGGTGTATTTTTGATGGGATTTCTTCAATTCCAGCTAATAAGTCTTTACCACTAAGCTTTCGAAATGGATAAACCTATATTAAATAGAGCTACGAAGACAAGGAGGTGTTTGTGCTCCTATAAATAAGATAATCCAGTGCCAAACTTGGGAAAGGACTGATTCTTAACTGCTTGCCAGCTACCTGGAGAGTTTATTTCCCTCACAGTCTTTTGATACATTTATTCTGTGAACCAGTTCCCAAGTTTTCCAGGCTATAGCATACTCCTTCCATGGAGTCAAAGGCACAAAGCTTCTGGAAGTTTGTAATCTTGGGTCCCTGCACCCCTAGAGATTTTACGGGTAGGCTCTATCTGTGCCTACCTGACTCTCACTGTTTTAAAGCAAGACTAGTATAGCACGAAGACAAAGAACACAACTATCTTTTCCTCTATATACTCTTTGTTAGGGAAGGTGGTTTCATAGCACTGCTGGGGGGAAAATGAGTCCAGGTGAAGGCCTATGTTTGAAAGTTATTGAAGTGCAGTAACAGGGCCTCAGCTTTCCTGTTTGGAGCCAAGTCACTGATAGAGTCTGAAGCGTACAATCACAAGCTAAGGTCCTTTGTAGCTCTTCTTCAGTCAAAGCAGTCTCAGGAGGAGAGGTCTTTTTTCATCCCAGGCAGGTAAGCTTTTCAAATGCCATGAGAGAAAAATGCCAGTCCCTGTTTTTAATACCTCGCTGTCAAGTACATTACAGATACAGTCAGTAGTTACACAGCATAGTGATCACTTTATACTGTGTGCTCCAGAAGCCCAAGTGCATGCCTAGAAGCCAATCACTGGGAACTAGTTTGTCTAGAGGGCACTTCCAGGGGCCTTTCAATCCAAGATAGCTACAAACTTTATAAACAATAATCACGCCCCAAACATTTCTGAGCAAAGAGAATCAACTTTGAGTGTAGTGAGAGGAACAAAGTCCAGTGGGCAACATTAGGGACAAATGGACACTAAGGACAAAATGTAATGACTTTAATGAGTACCAGCACCAGACAACTCCACCGTAATTACTAAAGCTTGTGACTTTAAGATGCCTGTTTAGTTCGCCAGTGTGATCACAGGAGATGGGACAGAACAATGCAATGAATCAGGAGTGTCAGTTTGGCTTCATGGTATAAGGAAGTAGAGACCTCCCAGGGAAACAGAGAACAAACTTACTGGTCTAGAAAGGAACACAAATGCTTTTGTTTTTGTTCTTTTTCTTATTTGTTCTTCCTTTTTAAAGTTTTCCCCCACACTTTCCCATAAAGGATTCTTGGAAAGGTAAATTGAGGCCAGACTGAAAAACCTGAAGATGGCCTAACGGCCTACCTACAGTGGTTGCTTTATCCATTAGCCATGGGGAGGCTAGGGGATTAATACTGCTTCCTGACACTTGCCTGAGATTCCTTCCTACTTGCAGGCAAAGTGGTTGATTAATTTTTTTTAATCCCTTGGGAATCACATAATTTCTTGGCCACTGAGAACAAAATGCTTTCAGATTCTACTCTGCAAGCAGGTACAATGGAAGTGCTCCAAGACGGGCCTTCTGCACAGGTAGCACACCAGCGTTTAAGACTGATTCCCCAAGTACCAACCACCCCAGGGGGACACAAGTTATTCCTGGAATAAAGAACTTGAGCGGCCATGAGCTGGGAACTGCTATCTGCCATTGCAATCTGCTTACCACCACCCAGTCTAAATTCCTCCTACTGCACAGATACTATAAAAACACCAGGAGCAGCAGTTGCACCATAACAGGTGACCCAGCCCCTACCGAAAGAAAAGCAGTGAACGTACCCCGATACTTCATTTCAAAAAAGAACCAGCCATTACAGTGCTCGCTTGATTTAAGTTGGCAGCTTAAATCCCTGTTGTTTCCCCGTCTGTAGCTAGTTGGGGGAAACACTGTGGTTAACCTAGTAAAGTACTAGGTCGGCCGCCTACTGCTCCTCCCACACCGGATTCCGTGCACGCTGAAAGGCGCCGCGTCGGTTTCCCCCCGCCCAGGAAGCAGGAAAAACCGAGGGAAAGCATACATCGACTTTATTTTCTTAAGCGAAGGCGTGAAGAACACATCTCAAGCACAAGATGGCATACATCAGTGCGAGACTTCTGAGGGGATGAAATTTCGTTTTCCCCCAAAGCAGCTTAGGATTACCGTAAATAAGGCAAACTGCCCACTAACCTCCCTTTCCAGCATCGAGCAGGGGTGCTGTCCTGGTCTGATCTGCCGCAGACGGGATCCTCGGGGCGCTCAGGCCGCCTAA